TACAAAACGCACTAACTTACATTTTGCGGGAAATCTACTGGACGGAGAAAAATAAAGTTTATTGGAAAAATTTTGTTTTTAAAATTACTGGGTAGGCTTCTGAAAAATCTAGTTTCCGTTCGAAAAATTTAAAAAAACATGATTTTGTTCATTTTTTGATGAATTTTCGAATGAGACATCGTTCGAATAGAACGAATAAAATTTGACAAAGTTATAGGCAAAATATCACGGAGGTCACTTTTTCGAATATCTTCGATACAACTAATTTTGTAAATTCTATAACTCGGCGAAATCAAGTCCAAACAACCTGAAAATTGTTTCATAACCCCAGTTTTGATCATAGAATCAAAAAAATCAATAAAACTATAGGTCAAAAAATTTCACTTGACAGTTTCTCACTGGGCTGGTAAAAGTCTCTTAATACAGGAGTACAGATCAAGTTATAAAAATGATAGTTGCTTGCCATTATGTTGCTAATGGCAAAGCCGATTGATGTTGCCATGGATTTGATTATCGAAACTGTGGTACATTGTAGTAGGCCGTCAAGTTGTTGTAGTAGAATGGATATGGTATAATCGAACGAAAGCCGGCCGACGGCTATAGATGTGGACGAGGAGGGTTGTAGGACAAAGGTGAATTAGTATATGGATAGTACATAGCTGAGGATTGCTCCTCGTATAAGTAGCAAAGATCTACATAAGCAATGTGGTTATAAGCTTCGTACATTCAGAGGTGAATCGGTGAGAAAAACAGCCGCTACGATCCGGCTAGAAAGATGCTGAACCAGTAATATAGTCGGATCGAATGGTATGTGAACGGACAACGAGCGCGTTTCCGTTATTCCTTTCTGAGTCAGTCATTTTGGACAACTTTTGAGGTAAGTGAACTTTAGTGTTCAATTTTCTTCTAGAAGATGGGAGTTTCTCGGATTGTGAAAAATGTAAAAAATTCCCCGTCCGATTCTCTATAAAATTCACAACACCCCAACACAAAAAAGGAAAATTTTTAAATCTAGCGGTGTCCATTGTTTCATTGTATCTTCTATCTATTTATTGATGTCAATATTGTGACTCATAGTATTTGTCATACGAAAGAGAACAGAATAAATGGCATGATATATACCACGTTAAAACTGATGTCAACACCTTTATGTTGAAAATGTTGCCAAGACTTCTTATGGTCTTAGCTCTTGTCATCAGGGCATTTAGGCAAAACAGTATCGGATGTATTTCTTCTTGCGTGTTTATATCATTTGGCGATCAATTCCAATTTCTGCCCCATTGCTTCTCGAATCTAATTTCAACAACCACCGGCTGTTCCGCTTCCATCTCATTTGATCATTCCACCCGTCACATATAAACAAGATTTATGGTTGGTAATAATATGACGAATCTTCGTCTGGAAACGATTTTTGATCAAGATATTATTCAACAGCAAATATATTACAATTGTTTCTCATATGACAGTTGTTCAGTAAAATTTGCTGCATATGCTGTTGAACAACTGATTCAATTCAAGCATGAAGTTGTTCGTACGTACCTCATCAATAAATTGACTGATGCTGGAAAGAATATATCATCTCAATGCTACAATAACACTAAATGCCCCAATGAGTTTTGGTTTGGTTCATCTGAATCAAGTGCTTGCGCGGCACCACTACCTTGTAATAACTCTATAAATGCGTACTCACATTGGATCAATCGTACGGAAAATGTTGGATTAAATTTGACTCAGCTTGATTCACCTTGAAATTCTTATTCAAGTATTCAACTACAGTACTATTTGTGTAATCAACCTAAATGCGATCGACCATCGATCATAGATAAGCTGAACCAAATGATTCAACAAAATTATGTTTCCATCTTTGATGATTTGGTAAGAAGAGCATTTTCTGCTATACCGCCACCGGTATCATCGACAATGTTAACTAAACAATCAACTTCAACTATTTCGAGCAAAAGGCGATCGGATACTTGGGGACCTTCTCTCGTAAGATCCTAGCCATCCAGTAAGGGGAAAAGTTGTGCCCTAGAATCATCAACCTTTTCTGGCTCGAAAATCGGATTGATCATAAATCGTGTAAATTTGTGCCTGAAAGATTAATTAACATACCATTTTGTTTAGAATTCGACACTTTATCTGACCACGTAATTTACATTGAACTGCTTGAAAAACTTGAGGGTATTTTCAAAAATCTGTAGAAGATTTACAAAGTGGTACCGATAAATAAAGTTACCCTTATTAACACACTGAATTTTGGGCTACAACGAAAAGTTTCATAACTTTTGAAGCAAGTAAGCCTTTGTGTTCTTCTCTTCCTTTTTATGAAAATTATTACTAGTTGTCAGCCATTAATTAATGCTACTCTAGTCTAGTAAAGTGGGATTTGTCCAATAACGACTGAACGTACAAAATCGACTTATAGCTTTTGCGATAGAGAATTTTACGGGCTACAACATTGGCTATCGCTTAATCCTTTTGAATTAAATTTGGTCGTTCAAGAAAATCCATTTTTTTCTGTTGAAGGAACTGTTCGCCTCTGAAAAGTGATTTCTCGGAATAAATCTGAAAAATCGCTCGGTTTTTTTTTTTCCCTTTTCCCTTTTTTTTCAGATGGTGAATTTTTGTGAAAAATGCGAAATTCCTCCATTCCATCATTTCTTTTAAATCTCAAAACTATGCTTTACGGATTCGCTATGCACGAATATTCTCAACTTTGTAAATAGTAAATAGTAAAAAACACAAATCATGGATATTGAGAACATTTCCAAGCCTTCGCACGCATCGAGAGCTCTCTGCACTCTAGAAATCAGATTCTACGCATAAAGTGAACATACAGAATTACGAAAAGAAAAGGTAAAAATTCTTCTTGTAGTATCTCTCCAACGCACAATTGGTGCATCATCGATGTGAATCATGAGGGATATCGTCTGGGAACAAGCAATTGTTGTCAAGTAACTTTTGTTTATACACCGTTATTGTTAGAATACTGTTTAGTAGTAGACATATGCGAGGTTGGAAGAAAGAAGAAGAGAAGGACAAAAAGAATCCTTAATTCACCTCTGCAGGTAAACAAAAGTTATACTTCCAGGTGACCGATATACACAGGTAAGATAGGATGATATAAATAGAACTGCGTTCGCCATTTTTTTACACATGTGTACAAGTAATTACACAACATATTGCAACGAAGAAGAACAGAACGACGGGATTCACTTACATTGTTATAGTTCGATATTCGTCCTGGTCGATAGATTACTAGAAAATAAACACGCTTGTTGGAGGAAAAATAATATAATAAAAAAAATCATCACAAATATCTTTCTGGTGGAACAAAATAAAAATGACGCCTGTGATTCACATCCTAATTGCATTAGCAATCTCGGCTCTTCTTCTCACTGAAACAAGTTAGTTAGATTGTTTACTTGCTCTAAAGTCGACTCATCAGAGTCTTCCTGTCTCCTCTATTTTTCCATTGTCCTGGATCTATCCTACTTTCAAGCACGTGTGTTGTATTTTCGCAGCTGTATGTGATGGTCTCTTCTATATGGAACGAATTCCATCATCCTGTGTTGAAACTACGTTGAATTTGTCCGCGAATGGCAGTGTTTCTGATAGTTGCTTTACCTTTGATTGGAGTCAGATCACAGCTTTAACTACAAATTATACTACCTATATGGATACTGATACTAATGAAACATACTATGCTCAAATTGGTGCATTGACTGTTTTGGGCAAGATGGGCGATTATGATTTGGATTACCAATGTCCACCATCTGGATATAATGGTGTAGCTCCTGGTTGCAACGTTCAACCAGATACGCAACTGGTAGTGTTGCATGTCAATGTTTTGGATGGTAAATTGTATGCAATAGATATTATTCTCTCTGGTGCTCCTTTTCCTTCCCCACAAGATCTGAAGGAGAACCAACCACCATTTGGTAAAGCTCATCACACATTTAATTCGGGAATTACAATCCAGTCCACTGGCTATTTTAAAATCTGTGAAAGTAATAACAGCGATCAATGTCCAAATAAGAATCTTGATGCTCACAAACTACCTCATCCATTACCAAGTAATTATGGAAACGGTATCTTTGGTATCCAGGCAGCCAACTTGATCACAGATTCGGCATGGATCATGGATGATCCCAATCAATTACTCATTGTTACTGCTGGCACCAATTACTATTATTTCAATGGTACTGGATTCTTTATGTATGACTCGGATTCAAAAACATGTACATGGTTAGCAAGTTGTAATTATCGATGTGAAGTTTATAATTACGACTCTCGATTCTTGGACTATGCTGGTGAATGGGTGGTCACAAAGAAATGGGGCATTACCGAAATGGAACCAATAGCTGTAGAAGCTTGGATTGGTAATGCAATTGATGCTGCTGGCATCTTCCCCATTATCATGTATACCGATAAGAAAACTGGCGATTACTTGGGTTTAGACAAACTTGATCCGATTCCAAGTCCTAAGATGGGCGCCACATATTGGTACACTCAGCATGGCAACACAACGCCGAGAGCTAGCATTGAGGCCTATCACCCCAATGTTGTAGAAGCTGGCTGCGTTGTCAATATAAGCGACTGGATTAATGTTATATTCTGAATCAGCACCCTTGATTACCTCTGACCCACTAGGTTTTAGCCCGAAAGCGATTTGCAGCCTGGGGAGGTTCCCTCGTAAGAGTGGTGTGCGAGGTGTAGCATACATGTATGTTACTATTGTACTCAAAGCTGAATTTCCATAGAATTTCAGTTTATACGTGTACATTTTGGATTTCCACGAAACAGGAACGTACCACTCTATGATTCTAGTGCCTTTCTAACGGCATATATTGTGTTAATATATCATTTCTTAGAGCATGAGAAAAAAAATAAGTTTTTGTATGTCACACCATCGCCACGAGTGTTAAATCTTAAAAGGCGAATAAAAGTTTTTTGAAAAGGTTTTATGCAAAATTCTTTCATCGGATTGAACAGAATAAGTTGAATCGGTAGTTCTGTTACAAAAGAAATAATAAGAACAAAGCAAAGCCAAGGGGCAGGTTTATGATCTTATGTAGGCTGGCCCTTTTTGCCTGTTGATTACAACCATTTTGTAGACCAATTCAGCTCCGTAAAAAAAGATGTTTTACCAAATTTTAAAGGCTTTCGCTCGCCGGTCATGCTTAAACCATTTAATGAAGTTTAGATAAACTTCAGGCTATTTACGATGTTTAGATGCATTCTCGAACCATTTGAGAGAAAATGTTTTTAGAATTTGAAGAAGATTTAGAACCCTTTGCGCAAATGCTGTGGCAACGTTTTGAAGAGATATTTGCAATAAATCTATCATATTGTTATACATTGTAATGTAGTATTTCGTAATCAGAAAACTTTGATAGTACTTACTAGAAAATTTTACCGACAGAATAAACATCCCGGAAAAGTGCATTCAGAGAGTACTTAACTTTTCGATTTATGAAAATACAAATTACTTGAGAGAAAAACTGAGAATTTCTAACATAAAGATTTTTCGCATTGCTTTTAATGCACTAAATCAGAAAAAATACGAAGATTGGATTAGTGATTATGCTGTTAGTTCTATCAATCCGATGTAAACAAAGAATATTTCTACTTCTTTCCGTACTGTCAGGCCGTCACAAATTACACGTAATAGGAAGGGAACTAGAGTGGTTGCTTTAAATTAGAACAGAAATACTCGACGAGCGTAGTATTTTCTTCATCCTGATCTTATTCTTGAACTTTTTCCAAAAAAGTTTTCACCATTGTATAGCTGATAGTCTCAGGACTCAAACTTTCATCCTTTTTGCTCGAATTAAATACTGTGTTTAATAAGAACATTTCGTCTGTTCTGTGCTTTTATTTAGAACACTCCCATGCAAAACACACGCGTTTTCGATGGTATTGAGAAAAAAAAGTTTTTTCTGCTATCCGAAGTATGGAATTGATGGATAGTTCTGTGACAAAATATACTCGAAAATGTCTGAACTATACACTGGTGATAATTTTTTTACAAAGGGACGAAGTTTTTCTATACTTTCGCCTTATACAAGATTCTGTTGATTTTTGACAGTAGTGTCGTAGCGTAAAATCTCATTTTTGATGGCAGACAAGTAGAATTTCGCTGTTTTCGGTCATTTCTGACTTAGTCACATACTGTAGAATAGTTTCCTGTCCAAAGTTTGTTCAAAGCAAGGATTTCCGAAAATCTCGGTTTCTTGAAAATCTTCAAGGGATTTACTGGATTTCCAATCTGAGACATCACCTGAGTCCGTATATGATGCTTCTGAGGTAAGCTGATGATGTTGGTACGTACCATTCATGAAAAGAAGTGACGGGATACGAAAAACCGAGATTTTCGGAAATCCTTGCTTTGAACAAACTTTGGACAGGAAACTATTCTACAGTATGTGACTAAGTCAGAAATGACCGAAAACAGCGAAATTCTACTTGTCTGCCATCAAAAATGAGATTTTACGCTACGACACTACTGTCAAAAATCAACAGAATCTTGTATAAGGCGAAAGTATAGAAAAACTTCGTCCCTTTGTAAAAAAATTATCACCAGTGTATAGTTCAGACATTTTCGAGTATATTTTGTCACAGAACTATCCATCGATTCCATACTTCGGATAGCAGAAAAAACTTTTTTTTCTCAATACCATCGAAAACGCGTGTGTTTTGCATGGGAGTGTTCTAAATAAAAGCACAGAACAGACGAAATGTTCTTATTAAATACAGTATTTAATTCGAGCAAAAAGGATGAAAGTTTGAGCTCTCATAGTTCAAGAATGGTACATCCGTGTTCAAAAA